TTAGAACTATGTTCTGCTGTTGCCATGATATGGGGGAAAACTTTAACTAGGTCCTGCTGTTGCCATGATATTGGGAAAAATTCAAATTATGTTTTTTTGAAGCCATGATTTGTAGGAAGACGCAAACTATGTTATGCTGTTGACATGATAAGGGGGAAAACTCAAACTATATACTGCTGATAACATTATAAGGGAGAAAACTCAAATTATGTACTGCTGTTGACATGATGGTGGCTAAAACCCAACTAGTTTCTGCTGTTGCCATGATAAGAGAGAAAATACAAAACTAGGTTCTCCTGTTGTCATGATATGAGGGAAAACTCAAATTATGTTCTGCTGTTGCCATTATATGACGAAAACTCAAAATATGTTATACTGTTTCCATGATATATTTAGAAATCAAACTATGTTCTGCTGTTGCCATGATATATTTGAGAAATCAAATTATGTTCTGCTGTTGCCATGATATTTATGAAAATTCTATGTATATACTGATGTTGTCATGATATGGGGAGAACTCAAAATATGTTCTGCTTTTGACATGATATTTGGAAATCTCAACTATTTCTGCTGTTGCCATGATATGAGTGAAATTCAAAGTAAGTTCTGCTATTGCCATGATATGGGGGAAAACTCAAACTAAGTTCTGCCTTTCCATGATATGTGGGAAATCACAAAATAGGTTTTGCTCTTGACATGATATGGGAAATCTAAAAAAAAAAAAGCTGTTGCCATGATATGTGGGAAAACTCAAAATATGTTCTGCTGTTACCATGGTATGGAGGAAAACTCAAACAATTTCTGCTGTTGCCATGATATGCTTGAACGCTCAAACTATGATCTGCTGTTGCCATGATATGGGGAAAATTCAAACTATGTTCTGCTGTTGTCATCATATGTGGGAAAACACAAAAATGTTTTGCTGTTGCCATGAAATTAAAAAAAATCGAAAAATATTTTGCTGTTGCCATGATATGTGGGAAAATTCAAACTATGTTCTGCTGTTGCCATGATATTGGGCAAAAATCAAAATATATTCTTCTGTTTCCCTAATGTGGGGGAAAACTCAAACTATGTTCTGCTGTTAATATGGTATGCGGGAAAACACAAACAAGGTCCTGCTGGTGTCATTATATGGGGAAAACTAAAACTAGGTTCTGCTCCTGCCATGATATGGGGAAAAATCAAACCAGGTCCGCTTGTTGCCATGATATTTGTGAAACACCAACCATCTTCTGCTGTTGTCATGATATGGGGAAAACTCAAATATATTTTGCTTTTGCCTTGTTTTGGGGGAAAACCCGAACTGTATTCTGCTGTGCCATGATGTGGAGGAAATCTAGAACTATGTTCTCCTGTTGCCATGATATAGGCGAAAACTCAAACAAGGTTCTGCTGTTGTCATGATATTGGGGAAAACTCAAACTATAATCTGCTGTTGCCTTGATATTGGGAGACCCCAAACTATATTCTGCTGTTGCCATGATATTTGGAAAACTCAAACTATGTATTGCAGGTGACATTATAAGTGAGAAACCTCAATCTATGTTCTGCTGTTGCCATGATATGGGCTAAAACACAAACTATGTACTGCTGTTGCCATGATAAGAGAGAAAATTCAAACTAGGTTCTGATGGCATGTATTGGGGAGAACTCAAATTATGTTCTGCTGTTGCCATGATATGGTGAAAAATCAAAATATATTCTACTGTTGCCATGATATATTTTAGAACTCAAATTATGATCTGTTGTTGCAATGATATATTTGTGAAATCAATTTGTTTTCTGCTGTTGCCATGATATTTATGAAAATTCTACCTATTTACTGCTGTTTTCAAGATATGTGGAAATCTCAAAATATTGTAGCGTGTTTGTTTGTCACGCTACAAATAAGCTCACACCGAGGTTTGATATAGCGAGTTTATTCTGTTCGCTCGCATTACACACACTTTAAAATCATCTGCACGTGCAGTTCTACAATCACTGCTCACAATATTCCGGCGACACTGGACTCCTTAGATGGATATTCCAAACTGACTTACTAGACGTGCGATCCGAAGCTTTCTTCTTCGGAGACTATTCCGCGACTTTTTTCTTCGAAGACTATTCCGAGACTCTCTTCTTCGAAGACTATTCCGAGACTCACTGTTTCTCGCAGAAGCTGGACTATTTATAACCTTGCCCGCTGTAAGCAACGAACCCTTTGTTATAACAGTGGAAACGTCGCTTTGTTGGCTCCGCGTTTCCTACGCAATAACCCATTGTTTTCGCGTTTCCTCCGTGGGAACCTTCGCGTATTCTCGTAAACGTGGATATTCGATATTCTCGGTACAACAGCTCAGTGTTGGGGTTACAGTGCCGCTATTGTTACTTCCTATGTAACGGTCAATTCTAGCGTTTCCCTAGAAGTAACTCCCCTGGTTTGCCGACACGTTACAATATGTTCTGCCCTTGACATGATATTTGGAAATCTCAAATTGTTCTGCTGTTGCCATTATATGAGTGAATGTTCAAACTAACTCCTGCTGTTGCCATGATATGGGCAAAAACAAAAAATATGTACTGCTGTTGCCATGATAAGAGAGAAAATTCAAACTATGTTCTGCTGTTGGCTTGATATGGGGGAAAATTCAATTATGTTCTGCTGTTGCGATCATATCTCGAAAATTCAAACTATGTTCTACTGTTGCCACGATATGTTTGAGAACTCAAATTATGTGCTGCTCTTGCCACGATGTTTATGGAAATTCGACCTTTAGTATTTCTGTTGTCATGATATGGGGGAAAACTCAAAATATGTTATAAATTTGACTTGATATTTTGAAATCTCAAAATGTTCTGCTGTTGCCATTGTATGAGTGAAAGATCAAAATAAGTTCTGCTGTTGCCAAGATATGTGGGAAATCAAAAACTATATTTTGCTGTTGCCATAATATGGGAAAACTAAAAAAAATATTCTGCTGTTGCCATGATATGTAGGAAAACTCAAATTATGTTCTGCTGTTGCCATGATATTGGGGAAAACTCAAAATATATTATGCTGTTTCCATAATTTTGGGGAAAACTCAAATTATATTCTGCTGTTACCATGGTATGGGGGATAACTAAAAAAAGTCCTGCTGTTTCCATGATATGGGTGAAATTTCAGACTAATTTCTGCTGTTGCCAAGATATGGGCAAAACTCAAATTAAGTTCTGCCGTTGCCCTTATATCTGGGAAAACACAAAATATATTATGCTGTTACCATGATATTAGAAAACTAAAAAAAATTCTGCTGTCTCCATTCAATGTGGGAAAACTCAAACTATGTTCTGCTGTTGCCAGGATGTGGAGGAAAATCAAACAAGTTTCTGATGTTGCATTGATATGGGGGAAAACTTAATCTATGTTCTTTTGTTGTCATGATATAGCGAAAAACTCAAACTGTGTTCTGCTGTTGCCTTGATTGGGGGAAAACGCAAACTATATTATGCTCTTGCCATGATATGGGTGAAAAATAGAACTATGTTCTGCTGTTGCCACGATATGAGGGAAAACTCAAACTATGTTCTGCTGTTGCAATGGTATGGGGTAGAACTCTAACTATGTTCCGCTGTTGCCATGATATGGGGATATGTAGAACTGGGTTCAGATGATGAAGTGATATTGGGGAGAACTCAAAATAAGTTAGGATTTTGAGATGATTTGACGGAAGACGCAATCTAGTTTCTGATCTTGCCATGAAATGGGGAAAACTTAAACCAAGTTCTGTTGTTGCCATCATATGGGAGAAAACTCAAACTATGATCTGCTGTTGCCATGATATGGTATAAATCTCAAACTATGTTCTGCTGTTGCCATGATTTGTAAAAAACAAAACTATGTACTACTGATATCATTATAAAGAAAAAATTCAAACTATAATCTGCTGTTGCCATGATGTGGGCGGAAACGCAAACTATGTTCTGCTGTTGACATGATAATGGAGAAAATTCAAACCAGGTTCTGCTGTTGCCTTGATATGGGGGAAAACTCAAATTATGTTCTGCTGTTGCCATGATATGTTGGAAAACTCAAACTATGTCCTACTGTTTCCATGATATTGGGGAAAACTCTACCTATGTACTGCTGTTGTCCTGATAAGGAGGGAAACTCAAATTATGTATTGTTTGTGCCATGATATGGGGAAACACAAACAATGTTCTGCTTTGGTCATGATATTTGAGAAATCGAATTATGATCTGTTGTTGCCATGATATGGGAGGAGAAATCTACTTATGTACTGTTGTTGTCATGATATGGGTGAAAACTCAAAATTTTTGTGCTGTTGCCAATATATGTGGGAAAACTAGAAATTTGTTCTGCTGTTGCAATGATATGGGGTAGAACTCAAACTATGTTCTGCTGTTACCCTGATACGGTATAAAATTCAAACTATATTCTGCTGTTGCCATGATATGGGAAATCTCAAACTATGTATTGCTGATGTCATTATAAGTGAGGAAATTCCAACTATGTTCTGCTGTTGTCATGATAAGGAGAAGAAACAAACTATGTTTTGCTGTTGTTGTGATATGAGGTAAAAACTGAAATTATGTACTACTGTTGCCATAATAAGTAGGAAAACTCAAACTATGTTCTGCTGTTGCCATGTTATGTTTGTTAGTTCAAACTATGTTCTGCTGTTGCCATGATATTTGGGGAAAACACAACATATGTACTGCTGTTTTAATGATATGGAGGAAAACTCAAATTATATAATGCTGTTGCCATGATATGGAGAAAACGCAAACTGTGTTCTGCTGTTGCAATGAAATGTTTGAGTACTCAAATTATGTTCAGCTGTTGCCGTGATATGGGAAGATAACACTATCTATGATCTGCTGTTGTCATGATGTGGGGGAAAACTCAAATTAGGTTCTGCTGTTGCCACGATAAGGGAGAAATCTCAAACTAGTTTCTGCTGTTGTTGTTGTCGATGGTAGGAGAAACTTAACACACAACATGCTTCAACTACGCTTTATTTGAGACTGAGCCTGGGGTACAAAGGAATCAAATGGTTTGGTAGAATCCCCCCAGACTGCGTGCAAGTGCCCTCCACACCAGATGGCGCCCGAGTGTCCTCCACACCAGATGGCGCGCGAGTGTCCTCCACACCAGATGGCGCGCGAGTGTCCTCCACACCAGATAGCGTGCGAGTGTCCTCCACATCCTCCCCACCTTGGTCTATCCCGATCTCCAGAGGGATAACCAGCTGAATGGATCTGGCCATCTGCGAGCCGTGGGTCGTCCTCACGAGCACGGTCCGCGCCACGCCATCTCTGCCAGGTCGAAGTCCTTCCACTCGGGCCAACTTCCACATGTAGCGTCGAATGTGGTTCTCCTGCAGGAGTACAACATCTCCAATCTTGAGCTCAGCTGATTTACGTGGATTCTGGCGTGTATGGAAAGATCTTAGTTCTAGGAGGTAATCCTTTATCCAACGTCTCCAGAAGTCGTCTGCAATCTTTTGCCTCAGCCTATACAGCTTGCTCAGACTAGAATTTGCTGCTGCTGCTTGTCCGGAGGGTATCGTGGTCAGTCTTTCTCCAGTCAGGAAGTGAGCTGGCGTCAAGGTGTTCTGGTCATCCGCCTTTGTGAGCGGTCTCGATTTGAGGGCGGCTTCAATACTGACAAGTAGGGTATTCGTCTGCTCTTCGTCGGTCTGCAGCTTCCCTAAAGTCTTCTGTAGACAGCGTTTAACGGATCCCACCATCCTCTCCCACCACCCTCCCCACCAAGCCGCCCTTGGGGGGATAAACTTCCAAGTGACATTGTGGTGAGCGAGATATTGGTGCGTGCGGGGATCTAACAACACGGAACCGAATTCCTTTAGTTCCTTGTTGGCTGCATGAAAGGTCTGAGCATTATCTGAGTAAATGGTGTGGGGTAGCCCTCTTCTTCCAACAAACCGTTGTAGGGCCATCAGGAATCGGTCCGTGGAGAGGTCCGTCGTAAGCTCAAGGTGCAGTGCCCTCGTGGAAGAGCAAGTGATTAGAAGAATGTATGCTTTCTTAGTGGTTCCACCGGACTTAATGTATAAGGGTCCGGCGAAGTCGATTCCTATATTTGAAAAGGGTTTGGAGGGTTGAACCCTGTCCGCAGGAAGTGGTGCTTCTAACGCATCTGCGTGTCGGTTGTGAGCTATTTTGCAGGGCATGCAGTCATGGAGCACTTTCCTTATGGCTTGGCGGGCTCTCAGTATCCAGAACTGTTGTCTGAGCTCCGTCAGAACAATATGTACTCCGAGATGATGAAGGTTAACATGGGTCTGCATGATCAATAGTTTCGTGAAGTGGTGAGAGCCGTCGAGTATAACGGGATGTTTTTCATCTGGCGTAAGTCTGGAGAACTGCAATCTTCCACCTAAACGAATCAATCCATCTTCCATGTAAGGGTTGAAACAAGCAATCCTCGATGTGCGTTGCACAAGTTCGCCTCTCTTTAGACGACTTACTTCCTCGGGAAAACATTCCGATTGGACTGCTCGGATCCAGTACATACGCGCCTTGTGTATTTCCGACGCCGTCAGGCCTGCTGGTGGTCGTTCGTTCCTCTTTAACATGTGAACAAACCTAATAACGAGGGCGGTGATGTGTAACACCTTCCAAAGGGAACTGAATCTAGAAATTTGAAGCAGTGGCTCGAACAAGGAGACGGTCAGAACTTGGTTCACAGCTTTCTTGGCCTCCGGTAGGGTGGGGTCTAGGACGTTAGTATCATTAGGCCAGCAGTTTGGAGGCTGTGCAAGCCAAATAGGACCATTCCACCATAAGGAAAAGGAGGCAAGTTTGTCAGCAGGTAGTCCTCGGGATAGGCAGTCAGCTGGGTTGGTCCCTCCTGGGCAATGTCGCCACTGGCTAGGGGCAGTGGAAGTTTGAATCTCGGTCACTCTGTTACAAACGAAGGTTTTCCATTTATTGGGGTCTCCTCGTATCCATCCCAACGTAACCAGAGAATCGCTCCATAAGGTAGCATCCGTAATCGGGTAGTCTGTTGCCCGGCTGAAGTAGCGGAGGAGCCTGGCACCTAAAAGAGCGGCAAGGAGCTCCAAGCGTGGAAGGGTGACCCTTTTGAGAGGAGCGAGTCGATTTTTGCTGCACATTAGTTGTACCGTAGCATCGTGGTCCATTGGGTTCCGAACGTAGAGCGCAGCGCCATAAGCTCGCTCGGAGGCATCGCAGAATACATGAACTTGTGACCCCTTGCTATGCATAATGTGAACACAGCGGGGAATGTTGAAACGAGACAGAGAAGTAAGAGTAGAGATCCAGTGGCGCCATCGTACTCCGAGATCGTGTGGCAGGAGTTCGTCCCAGCCAATCCCACGGCACCACGTATCCTGAAATAAAATCTTCGCCACTACTGATGTTGGTGAAGCCAGTCCAAGGGGGTCGTAGAACGTGGCAGCGGCCCGTAGGAGGCATCTCTTGGTAGTTGGACCGGCCGCTACTTTATCTGTGACGTCCCGATGATCAAAGTTGAAGGTATCGAGTTCGGTGTTCCAGTCAATGCCCAGAACTTGAGCCTGTTGTTTGATGTCTCGGCCTTCGGCCGTCCAAATGTCCTTTAGCTGCTGTGAATTAGTTGCCCACCTTGCCATGGGCATCTGTACTTTCTTCATAAGGCGCACGAGCTGGTAGTAGAGCGAGATTACATCATTATCATTTCCAACAGCGGCAACAAAGTCATCCATGAACATATGATCGTTGATGAGAGCAGCTGCCTGAGGAAATTCCCCCTCATGAATGGTGGCTAGCTCCCGTAGTGTAGCGGAAAGGAGAAATGGGCTGCAAGTGAGTCCAAATGGCAATCTCGTGAAGCGATACGATACAACCTCGTCCGTCAGGGTGTAGCTCCCATCCTCGTGCTTGAGGCAGTGATACCACAGGAACCGCGTCAAGTTTCTATCCTTGTGATGCAGGGTTAGCTGCAGAAAGGCTTGGCGTATGTCTCCTATAATCGCCAGGGGATGCTGTCGGAATCTTAACATCAAGGAGAGGAGCTCCGGAAGCAGGTTTGGTCCCATTTCCAGAGCGTCGTTGAGAGAGGGTGCATCCCTCTCATGTGCTGCTCCATCGAAGACGATGCGCCATTTCAAATGACCACGTTTGTCTTTCTTCACTAAATGGTGGGGCAGGTAGTAAGTATCCTGTGTCCCGTCTGTAGGCGGTGCAATCTCTACATGCTCTTGCCTGATGTAGTTGAACATCTGATCGTGGTAGACCTTGCGTAGCGTTTCGTCCCTTTCAAGTCTCCTTTCTAGTGAGTGGAACCGTTTCTTAGCGTGATGATAGTTGCTGGATAGGGAGACGTGTTCTTTTCTCGGAAGTGATACCACTCGTCGTCCATTCTGAAGACGGTGGGAAGCGTGAAACTGGGACAAAAGTAAAGAATCCCTTTCGCTCATGGTTTGAGGTTGTTCCAAGGAGATCCCTATCGTTTCTAAATCCCAAAAACGGCGAAGGTCATCGTCTTGGGGAGAGGCTGCTTGACCCAAATTTATGTAGTTCACAGTCGTGAAATCCACAGTGATGCCGGAGCGGCTTCCGCTGAGTATCCATCCAAATCGCGACGGTAGTAGTACTAGGGATGGCGACAGCCTTACAGGTCCAGTATTTTTAACAATCCTCCAGTATTGATCGCCGCCAATCAGAAGTTCGATAGGAAGATCAGCGCCATTGTCCTTGGGGTCCGCCAGTTGCAGTTTACGAATGTTCCCGAGAGTCTGGATGTCATGGGGGACCCTTGGAAGAGGAGAAAAGGAGTGATCGCTCTCAAGTGCAAAGACAGGGATGCTGAAATTCGTCCAGATACCCTTTATGTTCATCTGGACCAGTCTGCGTGAGCTGGAGGAGGGAGACTCGGTCTCAAAGGAACTTACTGACAAGGTCTTATTGTCGATCACCTCTAGCAGTAGTTCATCTATTAGGGATTTATTCACAAAACTCGACTGACTACCTCCGTCGAGTACGCACCGGGTAAGCTTGCTCCTCCCTGTCGGTCCAGTAATCCATACCCGTGCCGTCTGCAGGTACGTGAAGTTGAGGGACGAAACGTCTATCCTGTTTACGGATGTCTCCGGCGTTTGCGAAGTGGGGAGCATCGGATCCCGGTTGGTTTGACAGATGGATCTGTGATGGCCGCCCCTGCAGTTGGAGCAATGCACTCCTCCCCTCTTATTGCATGCCCTTGAGTTGTGGCCGCGGTTGAGGCAAAGAAAGCAGCGGTTGGTAGCTTTCAGTTTCTGGATGCGGCTATTCACATCCGGGACGACCGTACAGTCCTGGGCCCAATGATTACGACCTTCGCAGAAGACACAGAAGGGTTCGGCAGGTCTCTTCTTCCTTCGCTCAGTCCTCTTCTGCTTCGAATGGACATGGAGAGTCGCTGCGGTAGGCGTAAAGTCCGAGTGAGACGGCACCTCCCCATGAATCTTGCTCGCAATCAGAGCCCCGTCTACTTCTTCGTTCAAGAACGTCATCAGCGCGGAGAGGTTGCCTTCCGCCGTATTTGTCCTTTTGGAATGGATAAGCCAGCGGCGGCAGAGGGCGTCGGGGAAGGCTCGCAGAATTTTCGGGGCAAGCACCCGACCGTAGGCATCGACGTCCTCACCCAATGCTATTAGCGCCTGGATCCGCCTGTTACATTCAACATACGTCGTATTCAGGGATTCCGGGTCATCGTGAAGGGCTGGACTAAGGTTCTCTAAGTAATCCAGATGAGCCTGAATGATCCGGTTCTTGTCTCCATATTTAGACCGAAGGATTTTCTTGGTCTGCTCGTAGGTGTCCGCAATTACAGGAATGCCATCCACGAGACGCTTAGGTTCTCCCTCTAAATATCCTCTCAAAAACACGTGCTTTTCAGTCTGAGACACTGACGGGTTCTGGTCGACGGACGATTGGAACTGCTCCCAAAATCGAGACCATGCTTCTACATTCCCGGCGAAGGGCTCTAGTTTCATCGTGGGCAATCTAACAAAACTCGGAGCAGCGACTACGGGAACCGAGGGTGTCACACTGAGAGCGGACGTTGAAGCGGCTAGCCTCTCGTCCAGCCCCTTCGCGGCGCGATGTATAGCACGCTTGGCCGAGTCGATATATTCCTCACATTTTTCAACATCCGTCGGGAAATCGCTGTCTGATAGCAAATCATGTATCGCCTCGTCTAATACAACAAGTTTGTTCAATGTCTCCTGAAGTCTGCCTTGTGAGTACTGATAATCGTCCGCTGGAGTTGTCTCTGTATACCCATTTATCTCCGAGACAAAGCGAGTTACGTTCGCCCTTTCTCTGGTGCGTTTGCGCTTCAAGTTGTGAAGCTTGTCTGCAGATGGCTCTGCCATCGAAGGTCGCACTCTGTATTACCGACTGAACAGCTGGAGCAGGACTAGTGCCGTGGGTAGCCTTGCAGTCGCTTAACGGCTAACGGTAATTTCACAATGTGTACCAGGCAAACTAAAACGGCTCTACGTATAAACAGAATGCAGTCTTCACCTTCGTGTCCAGCACAATAGATGTACGCGATCAGATCCTACTACGGCAGTAAGAGTTCACGTTACAAATACGTTTCCCCTCGTGGCGTAATGGCGTGTTCGCAGCGGCGTTCCGTTTACTCCAGTCTTCCAATCCACTCTTCCTTCAAGGCATCTGAGTCTCGTCGTGTAAGAAAGTGTTCCGGGTCCTCGAGGTTGCTTCGTGGCGTGATCTACTGTAATCCCGGGTTTCGGCACCAACTTTTATGTTGTCGAAGGTAGGAGAAACTTAACGCACAACATGCTTCAACTACGCTTTATTTGAGACTGAGCCTGGGGTACGAAGAAATCAAATGGTTTGGTAGAATCCCCCCAAATGGCGTGCAAGTACCCTCCACACCAGATGGCGCGCGAGTGTCCTCCACACCAGATGGCGGCCGAGTGTCCTCCACAGTTGTCTTAATATGTGGGAAAACTCAAATTATATACTACTGTTCCCATGATAAGCGGGAAAACTCAAACCATGTTCTGCTGTTGTCATGAAATTGTCGAAAAATCAAACTATGTTCTACTGTTGCCAAATGGGTGGAAAACTCAAACTTTGATCTTCTGTTGCCATCATATTTGGAAAAAATAGAACTATGTTCAGCTGTTGCCATGATATATTGAAAAATCAAAATATGTTCTACTGTTGCCATGATATATTTGAGAAATCAAATTGTGTTCTGCTGTTGCCATGATAATTATGAAAATTCTACCTATGTACTGCTGTTGTCAAGATATGTGGAAAACTCAAAATATTGTAGCGTGTTTGTGTGCCACGCTACAAATAATCTCACGCCGTGGTTTGATATTGGGAGTTTATTCTGTTCGCTCGCATTACACACACTTTACAATCATCTGCACTTGCAGTGCTACAATCACTGCTCACAATATTCCGGCGAGACTGGACTCCTTAGACTGATATTCCAAACTGACTTCTTAGACGGGCGATCCGAAGCTTTCTTCTTCGGAGACTATTCCGCGACTTTTTTCTTCGAAGACTATTCCGAGACTCTCATCTTCGAAGGCTATTCCGATACTCTCTTCTTCGAAGACTATTCCGAGACTCACTGTTTCTCGCTGAAGCTGGGCTATTTATAACCTTGCCCGCTGTTAGGCAACGAACCCTTTGTTATAACAGTGGAAACGCCGCTTTGTTGGCTCCGCGTTTCCTACGCAATAACCCATTGTTATCGCGTTGTCTCTGTGGGAACCTTCGCGTATTCTCGTAACCGTGGAGATTCGATGTTCTCGGTATAACGGCTCACTGTTGGGGTTACAGTGCCGCTATTGTTACTTCCTATGTAACGGTCCAGTCTAGCGTTTCCCTAGAAGTTACTCCTCTGGATTGCCGACACGTTACAATATGTTCTGCTCTTGACATGATATTTGGAAATCTCAAATAGTTCTGCTGTTGCGATGATATGAGTGAATGTTGAAATTAATTTCTGCTGTTGCCATGATATGGGGGAAAACTCAAACTAAGTTCTGCCGTTGCCATTATATGTGGGAAAACACAAAATATATTTTGCTGTTACCATGATATTAGAAAACTAAATAAAATTCTGCTGTCTCCATGCAATGTGGGAAAACTCAAACTATGTTCTGCTGTTGCCATGATATGGGGGAAAACTCAAACTAAGTTCTGCCGTTGCCATTATATGTGGGAAAACACAAAATATATTTTGCTGTTACCATGATATTAGAAAACTAAATAAAATTCTGCTGTCTCCATGCAATGTGGGAAAACTCAAACTATGTTCTGCTGTTGCCATGATATGGGGGAAAACTCAAATTATGTTCTGCCGTTGCCGTCATATGTGGGAAAACACAAAATAGGCTTTGCTGTTGCCATGATATGGGAAAAATCGAAAAATGTTCTGCTGTTGCCATGATATGGGGAAAACTCAAAATATATTCTTCTGTTTCCATGATGTATGGGAAAACTCGAACTATGTTCTGCTGTTACCATGGTATGGGGAAAACTCAAACAAGTCTCTGCTGTTGCCATGATATGCGGGAAAACTCAAACTAGGTTCTGCTGTTGCCATGATATGGGGGAAAACTCAAACCAGGTTCTCCTGTTGCCATGATATTGGGGAAAACTCAAACTATGTTCTGCTGTTGTCATGATATGGGGGAAAACTCAAAATATGTTCTTCTGTTGCCATGATAAGGGAGAAAACTCAAACGAGGTTCTGCTCTTTTCTTGATATAGGGGAAAACTCTAATTATGTACTACTGTTGCCTTGATAACGGGGAAAACTCAAACTAAATTCTGCTGCTGTCATGATTTGTGGAAAAACTCAAATTATGTTCTGTTGTTGCCATAATTGGGGGAAAATGCAAACTATGTTCTGCTGTTGCCATGATATGGGGAAAAATTATAAATATATTCTGCTGTTGCCATGATATGGTGGAAAACTTTAACTAGGTTCTGCTGTTGCCATGATATAGGGAAAAACTCAAATAATATATTGTTGTTGCCATGATTTGGGCGAAAACCCAAACTATGTTCTGCTGTTGTCATTAAAAGGAGAAAACTCAAACTAGGTTCTGCTGTTGTCTTGAATTGAATTGAATTTATTTACATTCTATAAATCCTAAGCAGGTTAGTACCTTTTGATACAGAACAAGTCAAAATGTTACATACATAAGTACAGGCAATTTTAGCTTAAAAATTAATATAACTTAATTTTACATGATTCTCTATTTACATTAAAGTATTCATCTAAAGAGTAGAAGGAATGAGCATGTAGATAATTCTTTAACTCTGATTTGAACTTTTTAGTATCATTGCCCAAGTTTTTAATACTTTGTGGCAGATTGTTGAACACTTTTATGCCAGTAAAGTAGACTCTTTTTCATATACTGATAAAGTTGATGAGGGTAGGTGGAAGTTATATTTTTGTCTAGTATTCATGTTATAGACATCAGAATTTAATTTGAATTTATCTTTGTTGTAAACAACAAATAAGAGAAGCGATAATATGTATTGCGATTGAAGCGGTAGAATTTTTAATTTCTTAAATAATTCTCTACATGAATCTCTACTTCTACATCCTGTAATGATTCTTATTATATTCTTTTGTATTTTAAAAATTATTACACTATGTGAAGAGTTCCCCCAAAATATTAATCCATAGTTCATAATAGAATGAAAGTAGGCATGGTAAACCATCTTCAATGTTTCCTGTGACATAAAAGGCTTAATTGATCTCATCGCATAGCAAGCTGCATTTAATTTAGGTATAATTTGTTCAATATGTATTTTCCAAGACAGTGTACTGTCTACATGTATTCCAAGGAATTTTGTATCAAGTACTTTACAGATTAATTTGTTGGCATAACTGATGTCCAGATCAATTTGGTGGTTGTTTTTAGTTGTGAATGATATGTAATGGGTTTTATCAAAATTTAATGAGAGTAAATTGGCTTCGAACCATCTGTTTAAGGCTTCAAATACAATATTTATGTCATTTTTAAAGTTGTCAAATTTAGAGTTCTTAAATATTATACTAGTGTCATCTGCATATAGAATTGGTTTAGATTTATTGTTGATGGTTTTAGATAGATCATTTATGTAGAGAAGAAAAAGTAAGGGACCTAAAATTGATCCTTGTGGAACACCGTGCTTTATAATTCCCCAGTTTGAAAATGCATTATGACTGGAGTTTTTATTATTTATTTCAACTCTTTGATACCTGTTTTTGAGGTATGATTTGATCCATTCATTAGCTTTGCCAGTTATTCCATAGAAATTTAATTTCGATAGTAAGATATCATGATTAACACAATCGAAAGCTTTTGCTAGATCACAGAAAATCCCTCCCACAATTAATCTGTCATTGAGAGCACTTAAAATATCGTTAGTTAGTTCATAGGTTGCTTTTTCTGTTGTTAGGTCTTTCCTAAATCCAAATTGCTCTTTGACTAATATGTTGTTAGAATTTAAGTGTTCAAGTAGTCTATTATACATAACTTTTTCAAAGACTTTTGAGAATGAAGTCAATATGGATATTGGTCTGTAATTAGAGATGCATTTTCTCTCTCCTTTTTTAAAAAGTGGTTTCATTATAGCGTATTTTAAGCGTTGAGGAAAAGTACCTGATGATAAAGATTTATTACATAGATGATTCAAGGGTGAACTGATGTAAACAGAGCTTGCTTTAAGTAATTTGGTAGAGATTTCATCATATCCATGTGAATTTTTGGGCTTAAGGGATTTAATAATGTTTTCAATTTCTTCCTTGTTGAGAATTTGAGATTGATATTTTGAAATGAATTGTTAAAGGCACGAGACAGATAGTATATTGGATTATTAATATTATTATTATTATTATTATTGGAATATGTTTTCTCAGCTAATGAAAGAAATATTCATTAAATGCACTTGCGATAGCTTGTGGATTGTTAGTGGACTTCCCTTCAATATTCAAAATTTGTACATCTTCATTAACAGATTTCTTTCCTGATTCAACTTTCACAATATCCCAGGTGGTTTTATTTTTATTGTTTGATTTTAGAATTTGGCTGTTATAGTTATTCTGTTTGGCTTCTTTAATGACTTTTGACAAAATTTTACAGTATATTTTGTGAAATATACTGTACTGGAAAACTCAAATTATGTTCTGATGTTGCCATGATATGGGGAAAACTCAATCTAGGTTCTGCTGTTGCCATGATATGTTTGTTAGTTGAAACTATGTTCTGCTGTTGCCATGATATTGGGGAAAACTCAATCTATATTCTGCTGTTGCCATGATATGTTTGTTAGTTGAAATTATGTTCTGCTGTTGCCATGATATTGGGGAAAACACATCTTATGT